GATGTAGTTAGGGGCACTGTGTGGGAGGTCAAGCTTCAGGTAGGCAGGGTGGCGGCTGGCGTCAAGCTGCCGTCTAGTCTTGGGGTGAGGCCGTGGCGGTTCCGGAGGTGGAAGCATTGCGATGAGTTGCGCTGGGCCATCAGTGGAGCGTAGCTTGTACAGGTACGTGAGGCCAGCAACCGAGCGGCGTAGACTGAGGGAGTCCAGGAGGGTGCCTGGGCCGATGATGTCCAGAGCCCTCCTCTGGACTCGATCTAGGTGATCGAGATGGGTCTGGCAGGCGCCCATCCAGACCAATGGGGCATACTCCAGGACTGGGCGTACGAAACCTTTGTACATTGCCAGGCGGCCGCCCCGAGGCAGGACGTGGGCAGCTCGTCGGAGAAAGCCCAGTCGTTGGCTTGCACGGACTGCGACATTGTGGAGGTGGTTGCGGAATGACAGCTTGGCGTCAAATGAGACTCCCAGGAGTTTAAGGGTCTCAGTCTTTGCAACTGGGGTACCTACCCTGCTCAGTCACGCTGTAGAAGGTGACGGAGGAGTTGGCCACTGCCGCAATGTGGTACGGACCCATGGCCAGAATCTGCGTCTCGCCCAAGACTTGCGATGGAATCGCATCCTGGGAAATAGGTAGCATAGCAACAGAGCAGAGGACACAGACACACGCACCAGTAGTTTACAACAGTATGATCGCAAGCATCTACGCAGCCTACACTAGTCTAGAAGAACGGAGTAAGAGTTTCTGAACCAAACGTTTTCATTCCCTTCTCATCATTGGCAAGGAATACAGGAAAAGAACAAAGACAGTAAGTATATAGGCAAAGAATTGCTGGAAATTCCACATCCGTTCTATTCACAAACCAAGGCAATGATCACTTACCACATCGGGAGCAAATTTGAGAGAGAGCTTCAGGCCAGCCGAGGATTTCACGTCACAAAACATGAGCGCACACACGCCCGCGTGTACACACACCACACACACACACACACACACACACACACACACACACACACACACACACACGCACGCACGCACGCACGCACGCACGCATACACACACACACACACACATACATACACACACGTGTACATATGCACACACACACACACATACACACAAACAGGTGGACACAATTATTATGGATGTGCACAGACACATGCGGCGTATACATGCATTATACACATGCAGACATAAGGATACACAGACACACACAGAGTGTACACTGATAACTATTCAGCACAATACATACCCATATCATGTATGTAGCGGTGACACAAAGATGGGACCCTCCTTCAACAATAATGAGACCATTCAGCCACACACACACACACACACACACACACACACACACACACACACACACACACACACACACACACACACTCACACACACACACACACACACACACACACAAAATGCCCTCCCCACCGCCGCATGTACGACTTTTGAAGACAAGGGTAGATACATCAAAGATGTAAACCAGGCTCTGGCCGGTCAAAGGGTTTGGAATGGCATACCAATTAGGCCTAATACCAATGTCCTTGTGCCATATTGACCAGACCATGTTCAGCTTACTGGACCGGCTCTACAAGCTGGAGGAGTGCTACTTGCCAGTACAATATTTACCATATTTACCAACATTGCAGTTAGAGATGATCCCCGAGAAGTGTGAATATTCCTACATACCTCCCTCAGGTTTGACAAGTACACAGCCGCATCACCATAGCAAGCACCGACCACAGGAAGCTGAGCTAAGTAGACGATGACCTCACCTGTGGGATCAGATTTGAACAGAAACAAGACAGTATGCTCACAAAACTGCATCTCACATTCTAATTCTACACCGGGGAATACTATGTGTGCCTGGGATACATACCTTTATGCTAACATTCACACGCATGCATGCACAAACACACACAAACATGAGCACACACATGCACACGCACACACACACATACACACATACACCCACACCCACGTGCAGAAACATACCCACATACACACCCACACCCATGGGACATTGTAATGAATGTTTCATACCAGTCTTCAGGCTGACTGCCAGGAGTTGCTCATCTGCGCTCCACCCCAGCGATGCCATCTTATTGTGGCCCTCGGGCACATCCAGTACATTGATGATATAGGACACATTCCTCATGGAGTGTATCTTGATGCTGAGCAATAAAAAAGAGAATACCAAAAGGGTTAATAATCATCTACTGTGAATACATGGAATCAAGAGTAGATAAACAAGAGTGTGCAACTCCGGATCTCTCCTGCACAATCTGCAGATACCGCGCGCCCACGGCGGAATTTTTTGTTTACGTCACCTTTTTTCAGAGAAACGCGGCTTTGCCGCAGAGCAGTGTGAGAGCACGTGCTGGGCACCGACCTTGTAGTGTAAAGCCCAGCCAAGTGCACGAGGGAAAACTCTCCAAAAGGCTCGCAGCGCGTGCGTCGTCGAAAAGATTACGTCAACAAAAAATTCCGCCGTGGGCCAATCCATCCGGAGTTGCACACTCTTGTTTATCTACTCTTGATGGAATGAGATCAGAAGGAGCGGCCTTCTGCCAACCAAATTGCTAGAAACTGGTTATGAAGATCACTATCCCCATAGCAACATACTTTGAGAAATATGGAAAATTAATATTGCCTCTGAAACTTGTAAAGAATCCACAAAGCTCTCCTTTGAAATGCTGGACCTCAGAAAAATAACATCCTCCAATTATCATCGATTTTTTCAGGGTACTGCATTTAACTCTTTTGCCAAGTTGTCGCAGTAGACACAAAAAGCCTTTCGCACCAGAAAATGGAAGGAAAAGGAGTTAAGACCCAGACAATGAGTCTTGGATGTTATTGCATACCTGCTCTCTCCGGCACAAGCAACTCGGCCACAATTAGGGGCAACGGCAAGACAGGTGATAGCACTTCCAAATTCCTTTCCTACAAAAAGTTCCTGTACGCAACAAGACATGATTTGAGCAGAAGAAGAAGAAAGAGGAGGAGGAGGAGGAGGAGGAGGAGGAGGAGGAGGAGGAGGAGGAGGAGGAGAGAACCGAGGGATAAGGGTAAGGGTAAGGAAGGCATAGCATAACTTGTAAACTATTGTTCCTTTTCATTTCAATTGAAGTCAATACAGCTTAGAAAACAATGAAAACAAATAGAAGCGAGGAGGCCTGGGAAGGGATGCCTTCCGGCAATATAGACTGTAGAAGACATAACAAATCCACTACGAAGCAGTCATGTGATACACCACTACGAAGCAGTCATGTGATACACCACTACGAAGCAGTCATGTGATACACCACTACGAAGCAGTCATGTGATACACCACTACGAAGCAGTCATGTGATACACCACTACGAAGCAGTCATGTGATACACCACTACGAAGCAGTCATGTGATACACCACTACGAAGCAGTCATGTGATACACCACTACGAAGCAGTCATGTGATACACCACTACGAAGCAGTCATGTGATACACCACTACGAAGCAGTCATGTGATACACCACTACGAAGCAGTCATGTGATACACCACTACGAAGCAGTCATATGATACACCTGGCCACAGATCTCCTTCACAGTATGTATCAACTATAATCTATTAACAGCCTCCCAGCAAAGGCAGAACTGAGAGTACAGGAAGAGACCACAAAAACAACCCAAACGACTGCTAAATACATCAATCCAACCTACTTGGAAACACGTGGGATCCTGGCCATCCTCAGAACCAAGCGATTGGCCCACTAGGATGCCGTTAGCAAAGCCTAGAAGGCAGTAATTCTCGTTGTACCTTCGAAGAAAATCAGCACACACACAAATTCCAATGAGAAACAGCCGATGATAGCCAGAAGCAGAAATCACCCGGCAACTTGCGGCAATCCTCACAGACATGGACACAAAGAATAACATGGGGTGACTGATCGTAGTGGAGTGAGGTGATCATAAAGTGCTTTGCAATGGACAGAGCGAAGAAAGCCTGTAACATATTTAGTACCAGCAACACCCTACACGGCCACCCAGAGATAGTTGTGTAGAGTGTTAAACAGCGCAGGCCCGGTCCCAGTCTATTCGCATACACGACTCAATAAATCCCTTTTATATCACAATCCATAAGGAGGCTTACCACCACCGCCATTGGATACAAAATATGTTGATATTTCTTACCGTACGTATGTCGATATTGCGCCATAATCCGGCTGGGCACATGCAGGGCAGTACAGGAGAGAAAAGATGGTTTGTAAGTGAGAGTAACACAGCTGTCACCACTGCAGTCTAATGACCAATGATTACGTGACAACTACTGTAACACGGGTAATTTTAGCCACTATTAATTTTAGCGTTTTCCCATTGTCAACCGGTTAGCGACGTTTTATTTTAGCGATTTGCAGCGATTTTACTCACGAATCACCAGTGCACTGCTAATGTCTCAACGGATTAGCGACTTGAAACTTTAGCGAAAATGAGTAGATCGCTAAATTCGCCAGGGTTTTTACGTCGCTAAAATTACCCGTTCTACAGTACACTACACTGCATGTAATATACATATACACCACCATCACAGCAATAGTATTCAATCAAACCATGCTCACCAACAACATGCAGCAGCTCTAGTAGCAGCTCTAGTGTTACAAACTGTCAAGGCAACATGACACGTAGTAACACCAGATACATGTAGCCGGGTAATGCTGTGTACTGCACCTTGAAATTCATGTCTACACGTGACTGATCTTGGCTTTGGGTGTCCATTATGACCAAAGTCTTCCCTCTGCCGACAGCAGTGACCTGGAATTGCATGCAACAGCAACAGCAGCAGCAGCAGCAGCAGCACATCAAGTGCAGGGTTTAGACAAAGCTTTTATGTACAGTCCACTTAAAGCATGGTAATAGTGTAAGCAGGTGCACATGCACACACACACACACAAACACACACAAACACACAAACACACACACAAACACACATACACACACAAACACACATACACACACACACACACACACACAAACACACAAACACACATACACACACACACACACACACACACACACACACACACACACACATACACAAACACACACAAACACACATGCATAAGCATGCCGCACACATTATACAAGGTCTGCACAACAGAATAGCTGGGGTTCAAAGCAATACATTTACTACAAGCAGTACGTAACACGGATGAACACCTGGCACTGGATACATGTATCATCAACAAAGACAAAAGCACCACAACATGTCCCATCATTGTTGTTGTCCACAGCAATTACAACCGAGCACATTCCTTACATATCGCCAGGCGGGCATTCCTCGTCCTTCAAGCGCTTTCGAGCATATTTGATCAAAGTCAAGTTGGGTCAGTTCGTGCTTGACATCAATCTGGATAATGAACACGGGAAAAGAAGACCATCTCTTGATCTGCTGCTACGGTAGCTGAAAACAAAGCACCGCCTCCGTCGTCAGGATCATGCGGCTTTGGTGCGCTGGGTGCAAGGGCAATCAGAAAGTTAGACCGATCGATCCCTACAGGTATATCAGTACAGTCATGTTGCATCACCGGATCCTCGCACACACTTAAGAAAAGGCAGTTTACGGCTGTTTTCCTACCGAAAAGATTGGGTTAGATGAGGTGTCCGTTACAATCACGCGATGATCATCACCATACGTTGCCACGAGATTATCCTGAAAAAAACCCCGACAAGGACAAGAACAGCAAAACTATTCTCAATTCCATGTACAACTTCTCGCACACCACATACATCGAAAACAACCAGCAAAAAAGAAGCGTCCATATGCTCGTACATGGGTTTTTATATGGTTTCCACCTTTGTTCAGTGCCTGCTGAAGGTCTTGAAGAGCACAGTGGTTAAAGGGGAAGTTAAGGCTAAAATCAAAATTTAACCAGTTGTAGTCTTCGGGGTGCTGAGTCGAATGGTCGTGGTCCGAGGAAGCTGAGACGCTCCCTTCCTACTTTAATCCCAATTAAACTCGCGCACTTCCACCGAAACTGGGTGACTGCGCCCTACTAGATGGGGATTTGAATGCAAAATGTCACTAAAAGCGCCATGTCGTTCTTATAAAAGCACGAATGACCGCAATTGGCCCATATGTTGTAGTCTTTTGGACGCTGAGCCGACTGGTTTTGGCCCGAAAAGGCTGCGATGAAGCGTTCCTCCTTTATTCCCAATCGAACATGGTTGAACAAGCGGTCACGTGCTCCTGCGTACACCAGTCACCTGGTCACCGTGCCTGCAGGGTACAACTTACTAGCCTGTTTGACCTTTTTTGGGTGCAGTCCTGCTCGAGTTGAACTCGAGTTGAACCTTGGTGTGAAAGTTGTCGCCTGCTGGCGTGGTGACCAGGTGATTTGGGCACCCAGGAGCACGTGACCGCTTGTTCAACCATGTTTGATTGGGAATAAAGGAGGAACGCTGCATCGCAGCCTTTTCGGACCAAAACCAGTCGACTCAGCGTCCAAAAGACTACAACATACGGGCCAATCGCGGTCATCCGTGCTTTTATAAGAACGAAATGGCGCTTTTAGTGACATTTTGCATACAAATCCCCATCTAGCAGGGCGCAGTCACCCAGTTTCGGTGGAAGTGCGCGAGTTCGATTGAGATAAAAGCAGGAAGGGAGCGTCTCAGCTTTCTCGGACCAAGATCATTCGACTCAGCACCCCGAAGACTACAACTGGTGAAATTTTGATTTTAGCCTTAACTGACCTTTCACATGACCCGTGCTTAAAGGGTATATAGTCCCGCCAGACACATGATTGATTGTGAGGAGAGTATACATGTAGATGTAGGTGTGAACCTGACGTCTTTGTGAATATCAGATTGTTTACAGGAAAGAAAACAAGAGACTGCAGTAGGGGTATGAAGCCATTGTGCCTGTGGAGAGCACTCCAGTGCTACAGTTCCCTACCTTGCTGCTCCAGGCAACCATCGTCACTGCCTTGTAATGTCTACCAATGAGAGGTGACACCGCACTGCATCAAGAACACAAAATACACACCAAGAGCATGAATGCTTGGAATTTTCGCAGGCTTCCCTTGCACAGCCAAGTCACAGTGTCATGTAGGCCAAGAATAGAGGCAACCCAGGCCCCGGACAATGCTGCGCGATGTGCTGAAAGGATAAACCAAATCAAACTCACTCCAATCTTATCCAACACGCATGACAATTAAGAATATCACCAGTGTGAAGAATATTACCAAGAGTAGATAAACAAGAGTATGCTCTCCCTCCGCATCTCTTCCCGCACAATCTGCAGATACCCTGGCCCATGGCGGGAATTCTGTTGACGTCACCTTTTCAGAAAACACGTGCATTTCGCCGCAGAGCAATGTGAGAGCACCTGCTGGGCACTGGCCTTGTAATGTGAAGCCCGGCCAAGTGCATGAGGCAAAACTTCCCAAACTACTCGCAGCGTGTGAGTCATAGAAAAGATTACCGTACGTCAACAAAAAATTCCGCCGTGGGCCAACCCATCTGCGAGTTGCACACTATTGTTTATCTACTCTTGATATTACTGCTCCATACTGAAAAGCGTTAACAACAGCATAGCCGACTGAGGCCAAGATGTTCAGCAGCATCGAACTAGCACACTCATATGCTTGCAGACGTCAGAGACTGGGAACTCAGCCAGCACTAAACAATCCCAGCACAGTCAGAACTGCTGTGGCACCTGCTTTGCAGATTCCCGCCGGATTGCGGAGGGTGGCGGGCTCACGGACATTCACACATACCGGTACTATCCACGCCACACAAGCTGTGAGTATTGCTATACTCTCTCTCTCTCTTTCAGAAGAGATAGGGTGCTAGTCATTGTACAATGCACTTGAGTTTTGTGTGTGTTTTTTTACAGATGCAAGCTTTAGATCTCCTGTCTAGTATATACAGTAATCTACACCTAGCTACCCAGTTGGCAGTTAACTCAGTGTGTGCACCGGCATAGTCCATATTACACAGTGCACATGAATGTGTGCCCAACAAAGGAGCTCAACGAGCACACCGCTTGACCGTTTGTATTGGAAAGGGCTTGCTGCAGAAGGATCACTAGTACTGGATTACCATGGTCAAATTGCTGGTAATAACCGGCTCCTTGCTATATGTAGAAGGACATTTCGTCATCATGCAGGTCAGGTGAGCTATTCCGAGCCCCAATAACCCCATTAACCACTGCCAGGCTGAACAGCGCATGGCAGGGTACAAACACAGCGGTACACTACACTTACTTTCTGTCTATCAGTATCAGGTTACCCTTGGCAGTTCCTGGTACAAAACACCGACATAACACACAGTATTCACATACATAACACACAGTATTTATCAGCATACTAAACAGTATCTATCCATAGCAGTGAGTAAACAATGAGCCAGCACAACAACAAAAATTAAATGACTCAAATGTCGCCATGTGATCAACGTGAAGGACAATCCATGGTCAAGGAGTACTGGTAATCAAGGTCGCATTGAAGAAACCGAAAAAACTACTTGTACCTGTAGTGGATGCACATCCCACTGTTTGTCATTGTATCCTTTTATGTAACATGTATGCATTCATCCGGCCGCGCTGTGCGACATGCCAGTTGTACCGTACGCACTTTAGCTGTACCTGTCTGCCTGGCTTTTCCTTTGATCTCTCTGTCGTTCTCTGTATTCCCACACACTTGTGATTTGTAGTAACGAAGCTAGTTACAAGATGTCTTTGGTGCGTTTGTAGAACCACTACAGTACCTGAGATTCCCGGCAAGATCACAGAGAAACACACTCACTTGCAAAGTCTTGCTCAATGGAAGCCCTGCATGTGCAAAACCAGGCCAAGCGACCACCTGGTTCCACTGATCGCACCATCAATTATTTTGCCGAAGAACGAACAGGCTAGAATTTCACCAAGCATAGCATACTGTGCATAGACTGTAATAGGGCTTGAAAGTGATGACGTCAAAAACGGCCAGGGAGTAGTTAGTTGACATCAGATTTCTATTTTGGATCCACTAAGGTGTGACTTTGCTATTGCCTAAGTATGTGGGTGCATAGCAACCCACTCATGTCGCATGCAGGTGTGACTTTTATTTTGCCACCAGTTGTCACCCCGCCCCCACTAGCCAAATCGGTCAGTGTCACTGGCTACATCACCTTCCTGTGAGCAAGACCGCTTGAAATGTGCTTGGATCCATACAATAACTGGATCCAAGTGGATCCAGTTTTTGAATTTTTGAAATTGTTGCTATGCTGTGACGTAGCACTTTCAAGCCCTATACATGAAGATAAGAACGGTCAAGGCTACGATGTTGACCCCCACCCCCCCCCCCCCCCCCCCCCAGTTCTTCAGCACCCGGCAGTACTGTATCACTAATAAATACGTTGAATTTGGAGTAGAGGCGACCCTGCTGGTCCTACTGACCACCTACGCTGCTCAAAGACCATGACAACACGGTCCCGGCATGGGCGGCCACTGAAACCATGCCTGCTTCATCTGTACCAGAGCCGGTGGTCCCGGTACACGGTGCCACTGCCGGCAACTCACCCACAGCCAGCATGCCATTCGTCTTGGAGTAGCTCAGCACCACGCCACTGTCCCTGTACACACAAACAACACAAGATGTGTAAATGTCAGCTGTAAGAGTGGAGCATTAATTGCCGTAGCCGATAAAGTATTATTATCCGGTGGCAAACATGTGCAACACGGTACAGCGGGATAATACATAATACCGACATCACCACAGGAAGTTGCAGCATCATGGAACCATCGTACACCTCGTAACTGGTAGCTACGTACAAAGGAGCTTCTCATGAATTAACAAACATTCGTCTTCATACTTTGCTGGCAAGAACGGTAAACCGAAACTCACTTCAAGCCAAAATCGATTCTTCGACTTGACCTGGAGTGGCTGTCCCAAATCAACACAAAGTCTGGGTTCGGCACAACAGGAAGAGACAAGCAGGCAACAGAATAACAAGTTGAGCGGCATGTGTGTATGCTTTTATGATATAACCCCCTCAGTACTGCGATGTAGCAACGGTTAGTAGAAGTATCACCCACACAAATTCCACCTATCACTTTACAATGGATCAAGGTGCCACCCGGTCAGTGCACATAGTTGGTCCAATGTAAAGGTATTTGCTTTCCCCGGGTTATCGTATGCCCACTGCCTCCTATAGTTTCAACTAGCGCTTTCCCTTTCCAACTAATACTCAAGTCTTTGTTTCCTGGTTATGTAATGTGGTCTTGTGATGGCACTGGGTTGTGGCAATATTAGGTTAACTAGCGGCTTGTGAATTAATTGAAGGTTGTCGGTAACATTATAGAAAGGAGTGCTTATTATGGCTGGTGACACAGACAAGACACATGTAGCATGTTGCTGCCATGGTTTCGAGTTACCCGATAGAAGCCCTGAGTTCATCCGACCCCGGGCACAATATTGAACATCAAACTCTCCAATCCACCCTCCGTCCTTACTGCTTCTGTCTTCCAAGATCGCCAGGCTGGTTCCGGTGCGTTCCCAATCAAAGCTGATACACGGCCTGATGGAAATCAAAGGAAACGGATACAAGAAAGTAGAGATAAACCAGAAAGTACAAGACCACTAAGGTAGGAAGAATAGTGGACGGAACTGGATGCATGCGTAGCAACAATCAATCAAACACTTCCATGATTCACAGAGTACAGTTCTTCTTCTTTTTTCGACCAACAAAGAGTGGTACCAAGCAACAGTGTTTTACCATACGTTTTCCACATGTTTCGTTATTCGGAACATCATCAGTGACTGAAGCTTCAATGCTTGCTAGATTCATAACCGATAACTGTTTCAGTTTAACCACAGTACAGTACGTACAGTACGTACAGTACAGTATGTGTGTGCGCTGTTTGCCAGGTGGTGGTGCAGCTCCAATTCAACAGAACTGCTATACTTTCGCATGTGATGTAATGCGATTGGCTCAGTGGGAATGGGAGTTCACTGGCACAAAAGTCCTTGGACAAGCTGTATGCAGGCAGTCTGGTATGATTACATTGAAAAAGATGGGCAGGGTAAAGAATGTGTTACCACCTTGAAAAGTAGATTTCATCCACTACAGCGGAATTCCTAATTAAAAACCCAAAATCTCGAGAAAAAAAACCTTTGATCATCGGTATATTCTAACTATCCAACAACAGAAGACACAGCATACTAACGTATACTGGCCCAGCCTGAAACTGGAACGCACCGAACGCAGCGAATATTCAAATTAGACTAAAAGTTATACTCGAATTGGCAGTATGTATGAAGTACCTCCATGCATCCAGCTGTACACTGAAAGCCTGACCTACCGTTCAAGGTTGATCATCTCAAACATGGCTCCATTGCGATCATAGAGATAGACATACTGAGTGTACCTGCAAGCCCATGGACAAGGCATACCACACGCAGACAAGCGTGATGAACTCAATAGACAACTCATCAGTGAGTACCGGCAGCGATGAATAGGGGCTCAGCTGTACATTCAAGCAACTTGATAGGCATCATAAGACTGAGGCACGGAGGCAATAATAATTATATCCATCATGGTGTCCACTTACGCCCAGTCACCTTGTCCGTCCCTCTTTCTTAAGCGGGATTCACAGAAGCTTTTTTGCGATGCGACACGCAATGCGACAGGCGCGAAACCGGGAAAACCCCAAATCGCAGCCATGTCGCACCCCACGCAACTGCCGCAACTGGGCCATCGCAGGCCATCGCGGAAGTTGAGCTTGGCTCAACTTTTGCGATACGATGCGACAAGCGATTTGGCGTACGATTTTGACTTTTTCTACAAAGTTGTACAAAGGTTCAAGAGTTGCCTATAAATTTGTACAGGTTGTACCAAACCGCGCGAATATCATGGTGACGTACCCAAATCAGCAAGACTTTGTCGCATCGCTGACTTGTTCTGTGAATGGCATTTCGCGAGTTCGCATCGCACGCGTCCGTCGCATCGCAAAAAAGCTTCTGTGAATCCCGCTTTATTCAGAACCCTGCTTTTCCCATATTCGACTAGATAAATTCACCACAAACATGACTCTGGGAAAGTCGATATATTAAAAACACATGCACACAATATTTATTTCGACACAAGGCCAGACCTATGCGCCTGGGCAACGATCCCCGGGCACAACTTAAAGGACCGTACCCGGCCGCACTAAGGAGATTGGACGTTGACTTCTGCCATTTGACAGTCATGGGCACACCCTCTACGGGTGTCATCGCGAACATCGACTGTGACGGGGAAAGACAGAAGGAAAAGCACAACATTGGACAACATAAACTTTCTTGAAATGAGTGACTAGTGAATAGCATAAGCTTCAGGCTCTTCTCAAGCAAGATCTCAACATTTCCACAAGCACTTGCATTGCCTTTTCTTCAGGTGGACACAGGATACAGGATACAGGATACAGGTGGATACAGGATACAGGATTCAGGTGGATACAGGATACAGGATTCAGGTGGATACAGGCAGAAGAAGAAACAAACCAGTGCCATAGTCTATTGTATAGATGATATAAGTAATATGTAGTACGCAGCAGATTAGCAATAACAAACACAGAATAAAGCCCCATTCATACTTCATTTCGCGTACGGGAAACGCGTCGCATCGCGAAAAAGTTGACTTGAGCTCAACTTAATTGGCCCATCGCGCGACGATCGCGCGATGGATTTTCCCGTATGCAAAATGAAGTATGAATCGGCCTTTTAAAGAGTAGAGTGGTGATTCTCATACACATAGAAACATCAAAATCCTACAGTCATGCACTAGTAATGTACGTGTGAAGAGGTGTGATCAGCGGGATGTGCACTGTGACAACAATAGACGACAAACGAACCGAAATAGCTATCATGTGGATGCCCTGCCCAACAGATTGAGCGTGAATGTGTTCTGTTTCTGCTCGCAGCGTTTCTTAGCACACATGGCAGACAAGTCGGCCGAAGAAGAAAATTGATGCTTGCACTGATCCTGTGTATTTGCATGTACTTTGCAGGACCAGCGGCAGCACTTTTTGATTGGTCTGGCCATACCACCGTAAGCTGATCATACTTTGTATATGATACGGCGGGTTCACATGACCTCTCAGTAGTCAAACCCATTTCTGGCCAAATAGTTGGTGCGACCATGGCCTGACTAACTGGACCAGTTCCGCCGCCCCCGCTTTGGAAGGGAGAGTCTTTGCCGAGCACTTCACTGCACACCCATTAGTCGCAACCCACGCTTTCATTATCAGTCTTCGACTGGAAAACGAGTAGCACCGGTGATTGCACGATATCGCTGTGCTCTCGCGGCGATCAACACTTTCCATGGCAAGGATCATGCACGGCCAATGCAGAACCTGTGCCAGAATGCAAGTGACAGGTGATTCTGCAAATTGGCGGCCGCCTGATAGCGTAATCCATGGGGGACAGGGCACAGAGAAACGCTCATATAATTGACTCGACTTGTTGATCATGGCTCCATAGTTGTTACCTCGGTGCAGTCCGTCTCCTTTCAATTCTTGTAGATCAGTGGAACGTGTACATGCATTCATAGTATGTGATACATGTAATCACGAGGCGTTGAGTTTTCCTGGCAGTTGACACCATTCTCACTTAGCCCATAGTACTGGAGTCACTCTAGGCAGTGCAATATGGTACTGTCTGCTCACTCTATATTTCCCCTTTGAATTACATGTGTGCATGTTTTGAGCTTCCGCCGGAACAATTAGAGCGGAAACAAATATACTTTAAAATATTATTTTTTCGTTTGTCACCTACCTTCATGGTTGCCGCCGAACGCTGCGTCTCGCCACTTTGGTTTTGCAACGGTCACTGCACCTGCGCAGGGCGATCCACTACGAACTCAGTGAGTCATGGGGAAGCCACGGACCATTCCTTGGTGCTGCCCGACACACCTAACGTCCTTGCAGACAGGTGCCAAGCGCTGTCGTCGCAAAGAAAATGATCGGTGGACGCTAGTACGCTACAGAGAGCATACGCCATGTACCAGGAAAACAACTAAACGCTAGGTTCTCGGATACTTCTAGTGGGAAGCGAGAATGCGATCAACTAACATTATTACTTGGGAATGTGAATCATTACCGCGCAATACCAGAGCATCGTGAGTTTTTAAAAATATTATTAATAATCAACACTGTAAACAAGGTACTAGGTGTCATCACTGCACTACCGACATACCGGTACCGTCGTGTGGAGCAACTGTTACGTTAGTAACTAAGAAGTAAGCTGCGAGCTGCACTTGCTGCATGCATGCCGCCTTGCTGCATGCACGTGACTTTGTTTGTATTCTTTATTTAGACTTGGTGGACATGTACATGACAAACAATAATACAATGAAAAATATCAATTGTGCACTCATAACCATGTACATGTATAAACAATTAAAATGAAACAATACCAGAACGTTTTCGTGTGACTATCATCACTGACATCAGTGGAACATCGTCACATAGTAAGAATCACTAAAACAACCAGTTATAGCTAGAGTAATATGAAAAGAAGCGTGAGAATGCAGCACAGCTAGCGGTTATGCATAACGCGTATAGTGTGAACCTTTGCAGTGTATCTGAGAATGGTAGCAGTAGATGAATGTGGCAGCTGTGAGTGCGTGTGGACAAAACTGGTGAGTGCGTATTATTTAAAAAGTGTGAGTGCTACAACATTTTCTTTTTGCTTGCATAGAACAGGGTCACGTGTGCGAATATATACAGCTTCCAACACCTGCAAAAGAAACGTGTGCAACAAATAACACTAAACCAGGAATCGTCAAACAGCTAACGACAATCCGGACTGGGCACCAAGCAGTTTAAGCAGTTGCAGGTGTTGGAAGCTGTATATATTCGCACACGTGACCCTGTTCCATGCAAGCAAAAAGAAAATGTTGTAGCACTCACACTTTTTAAACAATACGCACTCACCAGTTTTGTCCACACGCACTCACAGCTGCCACATTTATCTACTGCTACCATTCTCAGATACACTGCAAAGGTTCACACTACACGCGTTTGGTTTGGTTTTTATTATTTCAGTTCGTTGCCTCAACAGTACAAAGTACAAATATCAAGAGGGACGAACGAAAAGAGAAAATAAAACAGAGCAGAGAGGAAGATGCAACTGAAAGGAAAGAAAAACGGAGAAGGAATGTGGACTGGGCGGATTCATGAACCATTACTAGAGCAGGGCAATGCATGAACAGAAGGGGCAAGTCCGTCGATATTCATGTTTAAAAAATTCCAAGCCTTATTTTATTGGTGAAATACATTTTCAAAAAGGAGGGGATATAGGGATATAGTCAATTTGTCGTCATTTAGAGCGTGCAAAAGTTCTGTAGAAAATGATCTAATGTCCTCACTTCCTTTCAAGTGAGCAGGGAGAGCATTCCACATAAGGGATGCTCTGGAGGAAAAGGAATTATTGTACCCTACCATGGATTTATACAAGCAAAATAATTGACAAATTGTTTGTTGTAGTTCCACGAGTTGACCGCTTAGAGGTGGGCAAAGGGAAAAGACTGCGTAAGCATGATGCAGGCTGAACAATATGACAAATAAACGTAAACGTAAGAAATTGATAAATGTATCGATATTCAAGGTGTTTTATTTGAAGAGAAGCAAGAAGGGGTGGTACAGCATCATAATATGAAGCACCGCAGGTAACTCGTACAGCTCTACGGAACAAGGTAAATGATCTCTCCCTGGACTGTGCTGATAGGTGTGGGATGCGTAAACAGGGAAACAATACTCAAAGTCGGGATGAATCACACTAAGCAGGTACTGGCGATGGGCAAATGCTGCCATTTGGCGGAAGGTGCGTCGCAACGCGCCTATCTTGCGTGACACCTTGCTGGTGAGGTGATCTACGTGTGGAACAAATGAGAGCTTGTCATCGATAAGGATACCAAGGCAGCGAATTACACTCACTTCCCTTAAAAGGTAGTGCCGCCCAGCTCAACAAGAACGGGTCTTTGTACGTCAGGAGCATTCTTCGGCAAGATCCTCATGTCACACGAAAACGTTCTGGAATTGTTTCATTTTAATTGTTTATACATGGTTATGAGTGCACAATTGATATTTTTCATTGCTATTATCTCTTGCACCTTTTACTGCCAATACTGGTTTAGGACTTGTGCCCAGTCCTGAAGTTAGTTATTGCTCATTGTCACAGTTGTGTTTTTGTTTTTTATTGTTTTGCATTTACATTTACAAGTACATGTATTTAGAACACATGCTCAATTCATGTGCAAGGCCTGTGGGACTGCCCTATTCAAAATTTAATAATAATAATAATAATAAGGTTGATTGCTATCCCTTGCACGTATCAGGGCCTGTGCCCTTTCCTGTTTTATTTCATCTCATATTAATAGTACATAATAAAACCAGTTTGATAATACAGGTGGAATCCTGATAATATGAATATGAATTCGAATAATGGTGGAGGTGACTCAACATGAATTCGAACTTTTTCCAGGACCGATTTCTGTCAATACGATTCCCACATAAAATGTGCGCGCAACACTAGCATGAGTACAAATTGTAGTCCCGGTATCATGGGTACACTATACCGGTACGGTATGGTGTATCGCAAAAAAAGAAAGAAAAACCGTGGTGTGCACACCCATGTGTTGCCCTATCAAAATATGAATAAATAATAATAATAATAATAATAATAATAATAATAATAATGTGTCAGGGCGCTAACGACGAAGAGCAGCTTGAATTCGTTCCTTTTTTAGTAAGTAATTAGTTAGTTTTACCACTGCCTGACTTTGGAGTGACATTATGAACACAGAACAGGCCCTCCCGTTGTTTGTGGTTGGCCGGCTATCACCCCTCTCAAATCTAACGATAACACTGCCTATTGCAGGCCACAAGTGCATGGAGTAGTTCACGATCACACACATGGTTACAATAATTATAAAGATTATTGAGAAACGGTAATGCATGCCGGTGGCATGGCATCAACTAATTACTTGATCAAGATCAAGAAAAGTACAAGAGCGCATACATACAGACTCAGTGCGGCCTGGGTTTAGTTATGCCTTTATGGACTCTTGTCAAGACTACAAGAGTCTTCTTGACTTGAGTCACGCTTGACACTGACAGACACTGCATGCTATGTCACAGTATGTGTACATGATGTAGCTTCATACTAACAGTACAGTACCGGTAGTAGCACACGATCTCAATCTCCTGCACAAAAACTACCCTTCCAAAACTGCAAAAGTTTTTTTTCGCTTCAGCAATTCATTTCTAGTTCTCTCGTATCATGTTTCGTGCAAGGATTCAGCAAATTTTTAGTGCTGTTTGTACTCGTAGTCTTCGTGTAGAACTAGAAGAGATTTTGGAGAGTTGTGATCTCAGCTGCTGGTCTTCTTGAAAACTGTCCATATTAAAAGCATAAACTTATCCTCTGTTGCGATACTTTGCTGCTCTCCGCTTGCAATTGAGTGGAGAGAGTATTGTACAAATTGTTTTCCACGATATCATTATTAGATCAGCGTACAAGACTTTTAACTTTGAATTCGCAATGGGTATCTTACATGCTGTGGCTTTCCTACTGCTCATCGCGTTCGTTGAATACGGCGCATCGAGGGAGGTGGTGTATGGTGTTAATTGTGGTGGCGAGGCGCACACAGACAGCCATGGCATCAAGTACTCGAGAGACAAGATGACTGAGGGAACTCCATCGGATTTCGGAAAGAGAATGGCTATTGCACGCGCCAATGCCGCCGACCAGATTTTGTATCAAACTGAACGGTATCACTTCAAGACTTTCAGCTACACTGTGCCACTGAACAGGGAAGGCAACTACGTACTTGTTCTCAAATTTTCTGAGGTGTACTTCTCTGGGTCAAGTCAAAAAGTATTTGATGTCCATCTGAACGGCGAGCCAGTTGTGTCTGAACTTGACATCTTTGATCGGGTAGGCAAAGGTGTTGCGCACGATGATTATGTCTCTTTCTCCGTAAAGAGTGGCCAGCTGAATGTCAATGGCAACATTATGCCGTTTGACGGAAAGCTGGTGGTTAGCTTTGTCAAGGGCTCCTATGACAACCCCAAGTGCAATGCGTTCTACATCATGCGAGGAGCATTGGATGATGTTCCACGTCTGCCCGAGGTTGAGGCAGAAGCGGAAGAGGAGGAGGAGGAAGATACCGATGAGGATGATGAGCAGCAGCAGCAGCAACGCGGAGCATCCCAGGGACCACAGTCTAGCTTCCAAAAGAAGTCCGGGCGGCCGAAACGCAACCCATATGACGCCGAGAGCACATCCTGGATCACTCCTGTTGTCATGGCTCTGGCCATTGTCCTTCCTCTTGTTTTCTGCTTATGCCGATTTTAGACACTGAGGATTCTGCACATATTTCCTGGTATTTCCCATCTATGCCTAGGTCATGTGTAGTGTGGCCTGCAGATTTGCACGGACTCTTGTGTGATCACGGAAGTGCTCACACTGAATAGTATCCTGGACCGCTCATTCTGACCTATGCCTGCAGGCCCCACATACACACACTGGTCACTGCTTCGACTGTGGTTGGATGTTCGTGCATCTAACTGCTGCTGCAGGCTAGGTCACTGTGCATATTTTTCCACGTGCATGGTCGCGTGTGTCATTAATTAACATCTATTTCTGTCATTTATTGTTATTGTCATTATTTAGGCACAAGAGTCATGCCATAATAGGTTGGTGCTTTCTGCGAAATTGCTACCGGTGAAAACACCTATTGCCTGGACATCTTCCCGTCATAACTTAACTTAGGGCAATGCTGCCATACCAATTTCTGCCGAGACTCTTATGCCTCTTCACAGCTAGTTTGACGTGTGTGTGTGTGTGTGTGTGTGCGTGCGGAAGGGGGGGGGGGGGGGAGGTAACGGTTCTGGTCCATGCTGGGCCAGGCAGACTGGCAATGGTGCTGAGTTTTATAAAATGCCACAAGTCCCGTTATTAGGGGTGGCTAGACGAAAAGCAATTCTATAAGCAGTATGGGAGAGTGCTGTATTGAAATGTTTGTGACTTTCTATTGTCCTGCTTTCAAATCGCAATACGTATGATAACCAGGTCAGATTAGGTTTTCCAGTTCTATAGTTTCACAGTTTTAATAAATGTGGCACGAGATTTCAATTCGAATTTCCTTTGTTGATGCTGTCGCTTTTCATGCAGAATCCAAATGGGGGTGCTTTCATTTCAGTACACCAACATGGAACAGAAGTGAGCAAGGAGGCTAGTTTGAGCAAAACAAATGATAACTGAGCCGCGACACGACAAAAGGGTGCTTATGGCACGCGACATCAAACAGAGAAAAACTCGTTTGAAAGTTAAGTATGCAATATTGAGAGTGCACATTTTCTTTTTGAATTCGATTAGTTTTCGTTGTGATTTATCAAGCTTTTTGAATGCGGTTTTTTTGCAACAGAAGCAGTGAGAATTCAGCCATTGCGCTGTATCCATAACTCAGTTTGTGAAATTTTTGCCATAAGCACCCTTTTGTCATGGTGCGGCTCAATTATTTATGTTCAGCAGTGTGACTGCAACGACTACATAGTAGCAAAACATAAATATTGTAACTGTGCATTGTCGTCTGATCCGCCCTATTTGCCCAACTCAAGGTTACTTGAGCGTTACACATGCTGTAACCTGTTCATGAACTCAGCATATTCAACAACATCTGCACTATTTCTTGTTACGCTTTGCTCCACATTCCACCCTGGTGTACAGTGTGTAGCAAGTTCAGAAGAGGATCCTTTCGGGGTCGCCAAGAAAACATTAATTTGGTACACGTATACAGTACAAGCTTACAACCGGCATGGGTAGCATAACATAGGTCCCGGACTGCATGTGTGGGTTGTAATAATAATCACAAATTTTAAGCCCTTCTGCAACAGAGCAAGACTTGCATGATCCTAGCATTCCTTGCTACTCAACCTGGGTTTTAAAACGCCAATTCCTGCATCATCACTGCAAAGTAGTCTTGACTGCTGCACCGTGACTGTATCCCTGGAACAGGAATACAGCTGACTACCTCAAAGACATTCATACACTTTGTTGAATACAGTTGACTACCTCAAAGACATTCATACACTTTGTTGAATTCCAACCGGATAGAAACCCATAGTTATGTTGCCGTAAAAAGAAACTTTCAATCAAAAGCCCAAAGGAGCAGGCGTATTTCTCCACGCCCGCCTTAAAAAAAGTCAAATTAAAAGAAACCTGTTCGTACGGAAAGCGGATGTGTACAAGCAAAATCCTCAACAAACTGGCGAAAAGAATGGGGTCTGTGACCATATTCTTTTAAAGAAAGAAACCCAATTCAGTAATCCAGAGCAAGTGAGGAAAGAGGAAAAGCAGAGCAAAGATTTATAGAGTAACCTTCACCATGATGCTATAAATAATGTTGAGCAACTATAAAGTGTTAGCACCTGGAGCTTATCCTTTCACCAGAGCAGTAACAAAATAACTTAAAAAATATAACTTCCTCGTAACATAACCATAATTTCGAGTCACCAGGATGTTCTCACCTATGTTGTATTAGCACTTAGATAGAATTTATTTTTCTAAAGCCAATTTCTAAAGCGGAGTACAACAGTTTCAAAATCGGTTCTCACCTCAAGAAAGTTTTCGCAGAGACCATGGAGAGACAGACATACTTCGAATACCTCTGTATGCCTTTAGTGAGTTCTTACGATCTCAAATTTATCAACAATTTCATTACTTCTACTTTCCGTGTAGAAGAAGGAGAGCTTACTGTTTGTAGGGATCATAGTCATCCAACCCGTGTGGTGAGTGCCGTGTGCAGCTCTCCACGGCACTGCCATGCTCGGCAGAAACGTGTGGTCGTTACCCTCTATATTGCCCGCACCCCCGTTTACAATGTAGACTGGCGCGCGCGGGTTGATGAAGTCCTGCTGAACTGCCACGCCGTCGTACATGGGATACGACCTCTCGTACTGGTGGTTGTGTCCAGCCAAGTAGACGTCGACCTGGTTATCCAGTAACAGATCTTCAATGTAGCTTCGATAGACGGGTGCTTCGAGCCTGCAGCGCTTCTCCGAGAGAATCGAGCTACAGTAGAGCGGCCTGTGACCACTCACCACCAGCCACGGGACAGCGTCGCGGTTCATATTGGCCTTCTTCATGTCGGCCTCCAACCAATCATGCTGCATGGAGCCCTTCTGGAAATCCATTTCCGTTGAGATCATGGAAAAGTGCACGCCGAGATAATCAAACGAATAGTAGTCCGGCGAGGAGGAGTTTGACTGGGCATGCGGCATGTGAAACCAGTTGTGATAGGCCGTGAAGTTGAACTGTGCTTCGTGATTGCCCGGTGCGGTCATGTAGAGCACATGCTGAGGAATAGGCTGCAAGCGGCGGAGGAACTCCACCCAAACTTGCCAGTTGCTAGAGCTTAGGCGATCGTCGGCATAGCTGATATCACCGCTGTGCACAACCATCGCCAAGTTAACATCACCCAGGTCTAATGTTGTCTTCATGGATGCCATCGTATCCTCGGACTCCAAAACTCCCATGTCGGCAACGAGAGCAATAGCAGAACGATTCCCATGAGTTCTGCGACTGAATAGTTCAATTATTTCCCTGTATTCGTCGAACGGTGGAGAGCTAGCATCACGGCACTGGTATTTCAGTCTAAACCCTGACTGTTTGCCTGCAAGGTCCTCGCCGGACGGAATCACATCAGGTATAATGACCTCGTGCAGCAGACCTTGAAATCCTCCAGCTGACGACGCATACGAGTAAGACGTTCCCGTCGCTCGCCCTGCATATAGAAGACTGCCGTTCGGGGTGAGCAGCTCAAAGCGGCACTCAGCGTCCTCACTGGTGATCGGCGCAGAATTATTTGGCGGCAGCACGGAATGCCACATACAGCGGACAGATCTTCCAAGTAGCGCTATGTGCATTGTTTCACTAACATGTCTCCAGTCACTCGTTTGAACGAGTGGGATGTTCTCGCCCACAGACAGCTTTCTCATTTCTATTCCCGCAGTATCGAATGCACTGACAGAAAGAAAGCGAAGCATAAGTCCGATACTGGCAAGGGTGACAGTTCGACAGCTACACCACGACATTTTCCTTCCGATCATAATTATCTGAAAGAATACTACTGATTACTGGCTATCGCTAGGCAATTCCTTTCTGCAAACGAAATCTTCTCCGGCGTTGGCAACATATTCCTCGATCCTCGTACGACTACTGCAGCAGTAAAATAATTCAAAGGCGAAGCTCGAAGGTGATTTGTTCTATTTTTTTTTTTTTTTTTAATTATTTACACAAGGCTACAGCTACAGCTGATATGATATGACCTATAACTAGTCCGACTCGTACCTGTCACACTACACAGACTGCCAGTGCTATAAAAAATAGAGCCGTTGGGCGTTGAGTTGAAGCGAGGGTGTGTGTGTGTACGTAGTCTACGTGTGCTAGCATGTGGATTATGTCTGTCTGTCAGCTCAGTGGATGGAGTGCCATGCATGCCATAAACCAGGGAGTAGTACAATACTCCCCGCCATAAACAGCAGGGTCGCCTGTATAGAGTGTAGTACCAAGAGTTCATAACCCCTGGGGGTTATGAACTCTTGGTAGTACGAGGTGATTTGGCTTTTTGCATTTTTTAACAAAATTTTAATGTGTAAAATTTGCTTTTCTTCTGGCTTTTTCTCTGCTCCGGATGGCTGTATCGAAACATGGGTGGTGGCAAATGAGAGCCAGTTTATCGTAGATCAACATCATTGACCAGAAAATTTGGTGCGTATAATTTAATTCTCCCTGCCACGTTGGTATAACTAGTGGTGGGTGCTTTGCCATTTTGTGTAAAATGTGTAAAATGAGCCCCTGAATGCCCGGGACGAGGAGGGCAGTGAATTGCTTCCGCAGGGCCTTTGGACGACGTCAGGCCATCTTGCCATCACTAGAGACAGTAATGAAGAACAGTAGGTCGCGGAATACACTCTGTGAGAACGAAAACATCGCTGCGATGCTATGCTATCTATCCAATTCCACCGTATAACACAGCCACTAGTTACAAATACAAAAACACGGCTTTCGCAGCATACAATGCAGTTCACTCCTCTGTTGACAGATTAACTTTCATCCACTAGCAATCCTTGAAGTGATATCTATCAACTTCAGAACATTGATGACCGAATATCCCAGTTTGTGATGCCATTTTACAAATTTGTTAAAAAATGACACACCAATTATTTGAATCCTGAGAATACTATGAAAGTTGGACATGATTCAAGACACTTTCCAAAGTGGGATCACTCCCATTTTTGGACACAACGGGCATGAAGGATAGCACTTTCTAGGGGCTCCCGTAAGAAGACCATAGGTCTGTGGGAAACACCCTAGTAAAATAAATAAACAAATAATCTACGTGGAGATAAAAGTTTAATAATAGCAATGAAAAGTATGAATGCCGCAGACATCACCACGCAACATGACAATTTGTTCAAGGTTTGGTTTTGTGTGTTTCCAAAATCGATTTTCACGTTGCGATCATCAGTGGAAATACGCAACTAAAGAGATCAAGGGAAAAACAAAGGTTAAAAATCCAAAGAAGTGTGACACATGACGGGTAACTTGTGGTAAGTATTACAAAAAGTGAGAACTAAAATAAAGAGTAAGTGTGACAAACGGGCATGAACAGTGCAGAAACAACTCATGAACACGGGGTGCAAACTCACGAAAATAACCTAAGTGCTAAAACATGTTCTTTTTGCTTACACAAATCGGGCTTATGCGTACGAATACAAACAGCTTCAAGGACCTTCAACTGCTGGACATAACGGGCACGACACAGTACAGAGAAGTGGGAATCATCATACACACTCAAACAATCGGGACGAGATAACAAATGCAAATACACAGCTGACTTCTTACGAATTTCACCCTCATCAGCTCCATCACCTTCCCTGCCACCTGACTCCTCCTCGTCCGTTTTATCACCATCACCACCAGCCGTCTCACCGTCATCCGCCTCGTCTTCATCCGCCGCCTCGTCATCATCGTACGCATAAGCCCGATTTGTGTAAGCAAAAAGAACATGTTTTAGCACTTAGGTTATTTTCGTGAGTTTGCACCCCGTGTTCATGAGTTGTTTCTGCACTGTTCATGCCCGTTTGTCACACTTACTCTTTATTTTAGTTCTCACTTTTTGTAATACTTACCACAAGTTACCCGTCATGTGTCACACTTCTTTGGATTTTTAACCTTTGTTTTTCCCTTGATCTCTTTAGTTGCGTATTTCCACTGATGATCGCAACGTGAAAATCGATTTTGGAAACACACAAAACCAAACCTTGAACAAATTGTCATGTTGCGTGGTGATGTCTGCGGCATTCATACTTTTCATTGCTATTATTAAAATAAATAAAATAATAATAATAATAATAATAACTTCCACTTGCAACAATTCATTTGGACGTAGCTTGTCTAGAAGTGACTGAAAAAACGTCATTTTACAACCATGTTAAAAAAAGCCAAACCACCTCGTATATATATGCGCGTACTCGTAGTACTGTATCTGTTTTCTTTACTTGCTACATATGTACATCGTACTTACAATTTTTTTTGTTTTCTTTGAAAGAAAATATTCTTGACTGTGTGAAAAAAAAAACACTAGGCTAAAAAAAAAAAAAAACTAGTACTGTAGGCAGTGAGTAGGGGGTACTTAACACTGCAACCACTGCGACAGGCCAGTGATGGCTGTGCTTAGAGAAGAGCACACTTGTTCGCAACTGCCCGAGGCTTCGCCTGCAAATTAACCCTTTGAGAGCCGATTGAAAATTTCAAAATTCTGCATATTTTCATGTTCTTTGGGACGTAACTTCAGTTCTACTCACTCAATCTTCACAATCTTGGGCTTCCTGGAAAGGTCTCCGCGAGAGGAAGAGACTGAGGTCACGCATGATGACCAGGACGCCATATCTCCAGCGCCGGAGAGCAGCGAACTAGCGAAAACTGCTTGAAATGCGTGCACTTTCGTCCTGCTCCAGCATTTTCATTTTTCTTGATCGCAGAGTTTCGATTTTTTCGCTGTGTACCCTTGGAAATACTACCAGTGAAACCCACGCAAATTTGAGTAACTCAGCGCGAGGAAAAGTCTCAAAATTCTCAACTTTCGGGTTGCACTCCCACGCTTTTCAAGTGCCGCGATCGCGGCTGAACTTACGAGCGATTTATCTCAAGAACCGTTGATCACAGCGCATCGCGGATGGGTTCTACGGCACGCTGAGAGTTTTCTCTTCAAGGTAGATATTTGGATCGTTGAATTTGCCCTAGTTTTGACCGAGTTACGGCCAGTTGAAGTCTCGCAGTCGAGTGTGTAGAATTCTACACATTCAAGTATGGGTCGGCTCTCAAAGGGTTAATTCCTGGTTTGTGACCTGCTGGGACAAGCAGCATCGAAGGTTACGGATATAGTGTGAACAGGAGGGGGCCGAGGACGGATCCTTGCGGCACCCCTCGACTGCATGCGACGTATTCCGAGCAATTATACTACAGCTCAACGCTTAGTTGTGGGCGGAAATAATTGCTCGGAATACGTCGCATGCAGTCGAGGGGTGCCGCAAGGATCCGTCCTCGGCCCCCTCCTGTTCACACTATATCCGTAACCTTCGATGCTGCTTGTCCCAGCAGGTCACAAACCAGGAATTAATTTGCAGACGAAGCCTCGGGCAGTTGCGAACAAGTGTGCTCTTCTCTAAGCACAGCCATCACTGGCCTGTCGCAGTGGTTGCAGTGTTACCAAGTACCCCCTACTCCCATATTGCCCAGTGCCATTTTGCAGAATTTTTCAGAGTTTTGCGTACTCGATTTTTAGGTCAACATTTTGACTGATTTGTTGTGCGAAAACCCCCGATACTGTATAACCCTTCCCCACACTTGTGTAGCCTACGTATGATTACAATTTTCAACTTCACGAAGTCATAACTTTGGTCTACTTCGCTTGATTTTCACAATCTAGGGTTCGTTAACAGTTGGAAAGCTCTTGGCAGGAGCAACGCCAGGCTCCATTAATAATGCATTATGAAGCCGCCACAAATCTGGCGCAGTAACACAGCAAAGTCGTCTCCAAGCCTAAAATGCAAGCAAATTCATCCCATCAACACCATTCCACTCTCCTTCATCGCAGAACACTCAATTTTGTTCGAGGCAATTGAAACTTCAGCCGGCTACGTCATTATAATGTGCTCAGTGACAGTCGCTCAAACGAGTCAAAGAGTATACGATAAGGGAATTTCCCCAAAATGGCGAAGAGATCGATCAAAAATTTGAATTTGTCGAGGTAAGAATACCGGAATACGGCGCGCAATATCACTGCAGTCCAATCTCGTAACTCTTCGGCAATTGTTGTATTGGGCAGCTTGGAGTTTTCGCTACCACGTAGACCCTTCGAATCTTGAATTCGCACAAGAAACGATGGAGTTGTGAAGGTTTTAGGTATCGATCATACATGATCGTTTGCGGGATAATTCGATTGAAATCCGTACTGCGGACAAAACTTCGTTTTTCCGTAAAAATACGGACAAATACGGGCGGTTGGCAACACTGTGGTTGGAGGACCGCGGACTAATGCTGAACCAAAAGAAAACTCAAGCTCTGTTGATTACCCCAAGAGGCCCAGCCCCTGACACAGATAACATTCGAATTCGCTGTGGGAATGCAGCCCTTGCAGTTGTGGAACAAGCGCGGTACCTGGGCGTAATGGTAGATGGGCAGCTCTCCTGGGAGCCTCACATCAATACTCAACTTATTCTTTTGCTCACTGAGCAATACAATCTTTCCATTTTCTTTCTTCTGTTTTCTTTTTCAATTTAATCCTCCATGGAGCTATGAAGCCGAGACCTCTGGTCGGCGGAGCTTAACGGGCCCCACCACCACACTCCATCATTCACCC